TAAAATATCCCTGAAAACGATCCTTGGACGGTCCTTTACCAATGCCGGGGCTCGGGAGCTCACTGCAGGCTCCAGGGAGCGCCCCAGGGATTGAAATTCAGGGGCACCCCTTCCCCCTGGGCGCGGGCGGCGTTTCCCTCTCGCAAGGGCACCACGCCGCACTTTCAAAAATTATTTTAAAATACTCGTGAACCCCCTAGACGCCCAGTGCAGGCCTGAAAATGTGCCCTGGACACCCGGCTGGCTCTGGGCAGGTCCCCCAAGCCAAGCCCCTCGCAGACGGGGGTCAATTCCTGGCGCCTTGGGGGCCACGCGACCTTGCAGCCCGGCGTGCTCACCGCGCCAGCCTGGCCGTGCGGGGCGCCCCGGGGTTCGCTGCTTGAACAAAGGGGCCCCCCTTCCCAAGCGAGGTCCTCCCAGGATTGCCCACACCCTGTCCCCGCACCTCTCCCGCCTGCTCCTGGCGGCCGCGCGGCCCCTCGCCGCGGCCCCAGCGCCTCGCCGGCCGCTCCCCGCCCCCACTCTCCCCCCAATTATTAATAAACACTTTTGCTTTGCAATAAAAGAACAAACATGGCGCATAATACTGGCACGAGTGGCCCTTGCATACGTGTCCATGGATATTAATTTAAAAATCAAATCGATACCCCCTCCCCCTTGGGCCGCGGAGGCCGGGAGAGAAAGCGCAGCGAGGCGCGGGCGCAGGCGGGGGCTGCAAGGCGGTGGCGGCCGGGCGCGGGCCACCAAAGGCGCCCAGCCTGCCGACCCGCACCTTCCGGCTTATTCCAGTACCCCTGGAACTCGCTTCCCCGAAGGCACCCCTCCTCGAGCCCTCCACCCCGGAGGAAAGGGAATTTCGAACGCCCCCACCCCCATCCCCATTTCTTCCTGGTTAAAAAAAAATACCCACAATATCTGTTTCTTTGGAAAAGGCAGATTGCTCGCAACCCTCGGCGAACTGGAAAGTTGGGTGAGGGGGAAAGAGGGGAGAGATGTAGGGCAAAGCAATCTGGGCTTGAGCAACAAGTTGCAGAAAAGTCCCCAAAGGGCGGCCCGGCGCCACGCACCTCCAGCATCCAGGTGGCCACGATCTTGCGCATGGACGGCAGTATCTCCTTCTGCACGCACTTAAAGTAGGACACGGAGGGCGCGCAGGTCTCCTCGGCCTTGAGCATGGCCTGCAGCACCCGGTCGTTGAGGAGGTTGGCATCTGGGTACGCGCGGCGGATGGTCTCCACCTCGCAGCACAGGAGCTGGTGCTCCATGCCGGCGGCTGGGCTGGGCGGCCGGGAAGGCGGTCCGCTGGGCTCAGGCTCGGGCTCCCGCTCGGTCCGCGAGCTCGGCCTCGCTCCTCCCGCTGCCCCGCGCTCTCTCGCCCTCGTCTGCCCCTCGCAGGAGCGCGCGGCCGCTGCTGCTCTCTGCTACTGCGCCGACAGCCCTCTGGAGGCTCCAGGACTTTGCAACTTCCAACAAAACTCCCCTGTAGTCCTTGTGACGTTACTGTTGTTAAGCAGAGATCAAAGCCGGGCAGAGAATGGGAGCGGGGGGGCGGGGCGCGCGCAGGGGGAGGGGGCGCGGGCCGAGCGCCGGGGAGCAGCGAGGGGCAGAGCCCAAAAGCCATCCCAGAGGCGCCGCTCCTGCCCCGCGGCGGAGTCCCCCCCGAAGCCGGGTTTTCATAGAAATGCAAATCGTCCCGCGGCGGCCTTTCTCCCCGCGGGGGAAGAGGGGTGCAGGGGGGCCCCTTCTCCCCAAGTGGGTCCCTCGGGATTTGGGGAAGGGGCTCTGCAGAGGGGGACAACGAGGAGGGCGGGCAGGCCACACGCAGCCGGGGGAGACCGCAAATGGAGGGGGGACGCTGGGTCTCGGCAGCACCCCATATCCGAGCCGGGAGAATGGGCACATTTCCGAGAACGCCACGAGGTCACCCACGGGCGGAGGGACCGCCAAGGAAGGAATCACAGCTTCTGCCTTCTCTTTCATTTTCATTAACGCGTGTAAATTTCAGGGACTGTTTAACAGGCGGGGTCGCGGGGCACAGCACAGAACCCTGGTGGCGCCTTCATTCTGGTCCACGGGGGGGTCGTTGAAAATGCCCGAGGGGGTAACTCTAAACGTTAAAAGGGGCTTCAGCCCAGCACAGGCTAGCTGAAAAAATAAAATAAAATAAATCTCCGAAAATTCCAGAAGCAGCCCAAGATGGTGGCCAGCATTTCCATCATCCTGTCCTGCTCGCCTGGGGGATCCGCGGACTGTCCTTCTACCTGGGCAAGTCCACCCTTGCGGGGGTCCCCAAGTGTCCCCTCCCCCAGTCCTGGCATTTCAACAGCTGGAAAAGCACCTCGGAATGGAAGGCTGCCAAACAGGGGTCTCTGTCCTGCCTCACTTTTTAATTAAAAAAGAAATTAAATTGCTGGAAATATTAGTCGCCTCTCTGCCTGGGACAAGACCACCGGAAGCTTCCTAATTGGTTTTGCTGGGGTTGTGGACGTCTCTTCACCTTTAGAATTTGCCCTGGGGCTGCGGTTGTGAGAGCCAGGGGGCTGGCAAAAATTAGAACAATTTAAAGTTAGGGAAATGAGTATTGAACTGATGATTTTAAACAAAATCTACATATGATCGTGGTAATTGGATCGGATCCCCAATATTAACTTAAATTTAAGAAAAAGACACGCACAAAAATATAATATTTTTATTAAATGGAGATTGGCTTTTTGGGCTTGTTTTTTTTAAAATAAAAGGCTATTTTGCCCATTCTTAACATTTTTTAGTTTTTACACTACCTGTCCGAAAACTAAAAAACTGTTCATTTACGTCTCTTTGAATATAGTTCAGCGTCCTAAAACCACCGAATCCCCTAACAGTAAAGGCGCAAAAGAAAACGGATTTTTAGAAAGCCCTTCTGTTGGAAAGGGCGCACGCAGCGAAAGAAGACGTCCACTGGCAGGGGGGATTCCTCCCGCGCCCCATCCCCCGCCGGAGTGAAGATGGCTAATATTCCGGGTCTGGGAGGGTCACTGCCCCCGAGGCGGTGGGTGACCGGACAGTACGCGCCCACCGCTCTGCCCCCTCCCCGGGCACCCATGCCCCCGTCGACCCCAGGCACGGCGCAGCCTCGGCAGCATCTACCGGCGCACGAGGGTGGCCAGGCAGCTTTTCATTCATAAAATCCCGACCGGGCGGCCGCTGGATGATTTATGGGGCTGCGCGCCCTCACCCGCGGCTCTGTCCCGAGGGTCCAGGGGCTCGCGCCCCCGCGTGCGCCCCGGCCCGGCCAAAGGCGCGAGCCGCCGACGTCGGCGAGGGGCAATGGGGCATAAAGACGATCGCCCACTCCGGCCGCTCGGGCTCCGGGATCAGGAGGGAGCTGCCCCCCAACCGCGAGAAAGAGAGGAAACTGGAATTAGCATGAGCCAATGGGGGCCCGGCTCTGTTACTAGGCGGGCCGGGCAGATCTCGAGGAGGAACTTTGTTGATTTCCCGGCTCAGGGACGGGCGCAAAAGTGCAAGCCCGGCCGGCGGGCGTGTAGAGCCGTCCAGGAACCGGTGGGGGAGGCGCAGGAATTTGGGGCCCCGCAGGGAGCGCCCGCCGCCCAACCCCCGCCCGCGGAGCCCAGCCTGGCGGCCCCCCAGCCTCCGAGGGAACCCACCGCCTGGCTCCTTGAGGGCAATTGCTGCAAGCAGAGCTGAGGACTCATTTTGATTTTTTTTTTTTGCAAAGAGAAAAGCAACTTTTCAGAACTTTTCTGTTGCCGGTGTCACTTGGCACTGTTTTTGTAAAACCCACCACCCGGGCGGCACTGCGGATTCGGAGCTCATTTAAAGCGCTCTGCGTTGATTGCGTGGGACTATTTGGAGACAAAAGTCCGGTGGCCCAGTTCGGAGGGAAACCACGTTAGTGTGACAGGAAACCCAAAGTTACTGAAACCCCCTTCCCACCTCCCTCGCCCCGGACCCCCGGGCGGTGGCCGCGGCCCTGCCGATCGCCGGCCGGAGAGGGCGCATTCCGCTGCGGCGCACGTTTGCCACCGTCCCTGGCTGTGGGAACCTTCATTCAGCGGGGGAAGGGAGTGCGTTCATTCAGGAACCAGCGCGCCGCGGCGCCTACCCGGGTCGCACCGCGGCTGCGCGCTGCCTGAGCCGGGGGCTCTCCGAGGGGACTGCGGACAGAGGGGCGACCTTCCGCTGGCGTCGCCCTCAGGCACTCGCACTCCCCTCCCCCCCCCACCGGAGGACGACGGGCGCACCCAGGTGGGGTCACCTGCAGCCGCATACCTGGCGGCGACTTGAAAGGACTTGGCTCCAGCCCCGCGAGTTTTCCATTGTTAAGCCCTTAAGTCTCACTGGAAAGCGCTACCGAAGGCGGGCCGCAGGGTTCCGGGGAAGCTTGGGTTCCCCTGCCCCCACGCTGCTCGCTTTTGGGGCGCGCACGGCGGTCCACGTGCTCAGCAGCTCCGCAGGGGCTCCGCGGCGCTGATCGCGGTTGCCCCAAAGCTGCGGGCCAGGCGCACCCGAGCCTCGGCGCCCATCCGGGGTAGCCATACGCTTAGAACGGTGGAGGCCGCACCCCACGCCGCCCCAAGCAGCGGTCAATTATTTAAGCCACACACAGGCTCCCCCCGTCCCCAGACGTCCCGCGGCGGGGCTGGGACACTGCCTGCGCTAGGGCCGCGGGCGAAGTGGGCGCAGGAGTTTAAAAGCAAACCCCAACAGGTAATGGGGCCCTGGCCCCAAAGACGCTCTTGGGATCTCGAGGGAGAAGGTGCAAACTCTTGGACGTGAAAGAATCTATCCCCTTGACCCTCGCCCATTCAAAACGCATCTCCTGGTGCCCTGAGCAAAACGAACCCCCAAGTTCAGTACGTATTTCCTGGCTTCCCGGCTCAGGCTCCCAGTGGGGAGTGGGCGCTCAGGTGTGGACGAAAGCCCAACCTAGGCAAAGAACTCGGGCCGGCATGGGGGCAATGACCTCGGAGGCCACGTCCCACTCGGGGTCTGAGAGGACTCCCGCCCCGGCGTAAGGTTCACGCTCAGACAGTCGTCGGCTCCCACGCGCCCCCGCCATGCTGGAGCAGGACGTCCGCTCCTCCGCCCCCAGGGCCTGTCACCTGCCCTCCCCCGCCCGTTTTCGAAGACCACGTGCGGCGAGACATCCCCCGCCTCTCTAGCCTGCTTCCCCCTGTGGATCCGGCCAGAACGCGTTTCCAAGCTTCGCCTTGGCCCTGGGGGTGGGTGGGACGGCCAGGGTCTCTTACCCGGAGCCTCCGAGTTCAAGGACTCCCGATACTTGCTCGGGGGGGGCTGGGGGGGCCGAAGAGGAGGAGGAAGGAGCTTTTTTCGCAGGCGCGGGGGGAAGGACTGCAGACCTACCGCCCCGCACCCCTAGCCTGCGGACCCTCGGGCCCGTGTCGTCGGGGGCTGGTGGCGACCCACTGGGGGATTTAGGCGCGCGGGATCCTAGGGGCCGTTTGGGCTGCGCTCCGCCCCCAAACCCACGGGGCAACCGCGTGCACCTGGGGCAAGGGCCAGGGGGGAGGCCCGGCTAGGGCGGGGGGCGCGCGCCCTGAACTGGCCGGGGGCTCAGAGCGGTGCGGGGACGCGCCGCGCATTCCGCGCATTCTCGCCCGGCCCTAGGGCCGCAGCCACGTGGTTGCTCTGCGCGCCGCGCTTACCGTAAGGCTTGGATAAGGCGCGCACTCACAGCTTCCCAGCGCATGCGGACCTCCCAGAGGGCAGAATGTGGACGCCGGGTCCCGCGGCGGTGGAGAGGCAGCCCGCTTTCCGGCGCATAGCGGTTGCTTTTCCGTGTAATAAGGAGAGTCTCCCTGCGGGCGTAATAAGTTCATTTGTAAAGACAGGCGGGTAGGAGGATGTTCAGACCCTACGGGTGTCTGCAGTAGGGTGACTGTCCACCTGAGGAACGCGACAGAACCGGACCGGTGACTACTCTGCCTTACCAGGAGTGACAGAAGCGCAAAAGAGGCCTTGCAGCCGTCTGACAGTTTTCTTCTTTTATTAATCAAAATCAGTTGGTGGCTCAGTCCCATGCACCGCGCGATTAGGAAGAGGAATCTAGGAGGTGCTTACCAAACAGGAAGAAGTTCATAAAATATATAACTTTTATTTTATTTTATTTTTTTAATTTTACGTCTGGAACGATCCCTTTTCCGAGTGTTAGGTCAAGATAAAAAAAATGAGCTCATCGCTGCATCCCGCACAGCTTCCGGGTGCTGGCTGCCTCTGCCTCGGCAGGGTCAGGGGTGGACTGTGAACCCTCAGGCGGGAATGGGTCAGTGGAACTCTGAGACGCCTCTCTCATGTCACCTCTCTCTGCCTCCCACCCCACCCCCTCCCCCGGAGAAACGGCTCCCCTGCAATCGCGTGGAGGCAGAAGGGGAAGGGGGGAAGAGGTTGCTGGGCCCTGAGCCCGGCTGGATTCACCCCG